CCCTGGGCCTGCCTTCTCTGCGCCTCCAGCTTAACGTCGCTGTTGAAAGAGAATGGCCGGGGGGGTGGGGGTCATTCCTTCGCCGGAATGGGGCGGCGGCGCTACTTTCATGGCTACCTGAGCTGAGCAATCTCTCCGTAAGGCAGCACCGAGAAAGCGGCGTAGAGCGAGCGCTTGGCACAAATCAGCATGATCCTGCGGGGGGGGCAACGGCACGGACAGGCACACGATCAGTCGAGGAGCCGCGGCCGTGACCAAACGGAACAAATCATAAGAAATTCATCACCCGAACAAAATCAGCAATGGTTTGCGAGCCTCCTTTTAGCACGCGTTAAAAATGGCGCGGATCAATTTGAGCGAGCCACGCTGCGTGGCGGACGCGCTCGGGAAAAACGGGAGGCCCCGGCGGATGTTGGCGAGGGCGCAAAGCCGCCAAAAGAAAGGCGACAAATTTCTCCTTGGCGACCGAAAAAAAAAATAAATCAGAAAGCAAACCCTGAACTTGGACTTGATAAGAGCCGGCAAAGGACGCGACGACTCACCTGCACCCCCTGGTGTCATACTGCCTCATGCTCTTGATGAAGTGGACTTTCTTTGGCACCTTGACTCCGGGGGAACCGGAGACATTCCTCAACCTGCGAGATGGTCCACAGGGATCGAACGTCAACAGAAGGCAGCGACGCAAAGATCGGACGTACGCGCACTTTGGTCTTAACTTTTTGCTTTTTCCTTTGACTGCTCCAGTCGAAACACGCAAAACGTGGGGCGTCTTGACTTTGTCACAGACGGGAAAGTACATTTCGGGAAACCGGTCGCCAGTTCATCGTTTCAACCTTTTCCACAGCGAGCGGAGGAGGATGCAGATCGAGATGAAAGCGCAAATGACACCGGTGACACTTTTTAAATCGTCAACAGGCGAGTAGCGACGTGAATAGCGACCAAAACGACCAATCGGTCAAAATGCTGAGTTGGGTTGCAATGGCCCCTTTGGATGCGAGCGCGAGGTTTGAAAAGAGGAAGATGGTTCTCTGGGAAATTGATTTGTGTGTGTGTGGGGGAGGGTTGCCTATTAAAAAACTGGTGGCGGGAGGTCTATCGCATTGATCTGTTTTTGTTTTTTTTTATATGTGGCTTTCGACTTTCTGTTCGAGAAAATTAAACTTGATTCGCTGAATTCAAGAAAAACAGCAAAACTTGATCATTCATTATTTTTTTCTTTCGTATACTGCGACTTTACTTTCATTTGTTACGACTTTGCTACGTACTTTAGTAATCAATTGTGGGGTTTTGTTGTTATGGAGCATTTTAGAGGCGCTTGAAGAGCTCGGGCCATGTTTTTTGATTTGTGATTATTATTAGAAATCCCTTCACTTGACAACTCTCGCCAACGCGTTGGTCGGATAAAGGAACTGAGCGTAGGAAATGGTCTGCGCAGAGGAGGAGGAAACACACGGGGAGTCGTTTCTCAATAAATTGGGCATGTTCAAAACAATTGGCGGGCGGGCGTAACGACCGAGAAGGACGTCCCACCGAATGGCGGCGATCTGGCGATTGACACAACTTTGGCTTTAGCTGGATTTTGGGGCGCCGCCCTGTGACGCACCGTCCGTCCCGAGCGGGCCCTCGCCCACCACATAAAAACCGCGATCAACGGCAAGTTACTTTCGCCGGTCCTCACATTGGACGCTGCGGCGTCTCGAAAAGGCGGGGCCGAGGCCCGTCGAATGACAGGGGACGGTGGGCTGCTGTTGTCCCCGCGGCGACACATAAAATACCGTTTGTCAATTGCAGATGCATATAAACATAAAAGGGGGACCACTTCCTTGTTTGTAAGTCAGCACGTCGGGCGGACTTACTTTGCCGCACGCGTCCGAAACGTCCGGCTCGGCGCCTTCCAGCGAAGGGAGCAGCTCGGCCGCCGCCACCGAGGACTGCCTTCTCTGCGCCTCCAGCTTAACGTCGCTGTTGAAAGAGAATGGCCGGGGGGGTGGGGGTCATTCCTTCGCCGGAATGGGGCGGCGGCGCTACTTTCATGGCTACCTGAGCTGAGCAATCTCTCCGTAAGGCAGCACCGAGAAAGCGGCGTAGAGCGAGCGCTTGGCACAAATCAGCATGATCCTGCGGGGGGGGCAACGGCACGGACAGGCACCGGATCAGACGAGGAGCCGCGGC